GCTTTTTCCGAGGATGCACGGACGACCCGGACGATCGAAGCAATCGATCGGCCGGTATCGACCGCAGGTAATATCCCTCCGTTGCTGGCGTCCCACCTTCGTATATAGGTCGAGTAATTGCTTCAGTACAAACAGAGCCGAGTTTCAAGAGCCCTGCGGAACAATGGCCTCTCGGTGTTTGCTTTCAATTCCCCTGCCATTTGCAAAATAGAATGACGTCCCTGAGAACAATGTGACACCGGCCTGACACCTTCGAGGACGCCGGGTCGATATTAGGAAACACGACGCAATCCATCGTGTTTTGCATCGCCTATTGTTACGTTACGCAAACCCTATTTTTCGGCAGACGCGAGACTCTCATCTCCCCTTCTGGAAGTGTTTCCAGTGCGTGCCAGACACAAAAGAAGAGAGCTTAGAAAGCGCACGCTCCATCGTAGGCGTCAAAATACAAACACCGGCGAACCGGAGACCCTCCCAGTTGTTTTCGCCTTTCACACTTTGTCCACCCTTTTGTAACCGGGAAAGGGTTCGAAACTGCGTAGGTGTGGTAGCGACAAGCGAACGTGATCGATTCCCCTCACCGCAAATCGGCCTACCTGTCTAATCATCTCTTGTTTTCCCCTTCCCGTTATCGTTCTGCCGCGAAATACAGGTGCAGAGAGACGAGTACCTCTGGAAACCTCTGACGGGATATCCCCCTTGACAGATTTACCAACCCGGCTTATCTTTATCTTAAATCCTACCTTCCGTTCCCATGTACGAACAGCTAGTGTTTTTCTCACACCTGCTTCCCTCGTATCTACATGGTGAGAATTGCCATCGATAAGACTCGTGACAGCTCGAGATGAGTGACTGTGAGAACTTTCCTATCGACACGTCACGTTGGAGAAGGAAATGTTGCATTCCATAGAGTCCGCATTTTCCCGCCAAGCCGTGAAACACGGGAGCACCAAAAAGTGCCGAACCGAATCGCGAGGGAACGTCACGCAACCGGACGCGAAACGTTAGCGGTAGTTTTGTTGCAAAGACTCGAGTGCATCGGCACGATCGAGCCATCGATCTCGCGAGAGACCGGCAAACGACATTCGTCGAACCGTTCCACGACGCGAATCGGAGAGGAGCGGAATCGCCGTATCCATCGCGAGCAGGCAATTTATTCTCGGGAACCACCGAGATGACATGTCCCAACACTCCCTATTTGCCTAGCCGATCGAGCCCGGAGGAAGAAGACCCGGCAATAACGTTGAGTGGGAGCCGGCGGATCCCCGGCTGTCCGCCTCCTCGTGGAGTCGAGCGTCGCACGGATGCCACGACCGAGTTGCGTGATGAGGGAGGCACCTGCTCCTTCATTCATATTTCAAGGCTTGTCTCCGCCTCGTGTCAGGATTTTCCACGGGCCGTATTTTCCTCGTCCGTGACCTGCCACCGACGAGGGCAGATGGTGATGGGCGTCCCGTTCCGATGACGTCCGCTCTGACGGACTCACGAATGACTAATTCCGGAAGAAAACGATCTCTCGTCCGCGGAATGGAATCCTTGGGGCCGTGCAGGCCCGCAGCGAATGCAAGCCCGGCGGTCGACTTCGCTTCGGGGTTTTTCAGGGGCCGATGCGACGGTTCGTTAGATGATCTCTGCGATCTCGTTGCGTAAAACTGGCATACAAGGGTATTTTTTATTGTAACAATCGTCGGTGGGGGTGGGGTTCTCGAAGAGGATCGATGGGGATTGCGTGCAAAAGGGCGGCCCGCATATGTTCGTCTTTGTTTCCTCTCTCTCTGGATCCAATATCGCCTCTCTGCTGGCAATTATCGCCTTCACCCAAGGGATTTTTCTCCGATCTCCACTCCATCTTTGCGCGTAATCGAAGGCTTGCTTCTATCTGCGGCGTATATGCTTTTTAGCGTTAATAAACCCCAGTCGGATTCCCTCGTGGCGTTCGGAGAAAGTTGGATGGGGCCGTTGATGAAAGGTAAACTCGGGGGTTTCGACGCGGTCCAATGATTCCGGCAAAAGGGAGAAAGAGACATATTCCCGAGCTCCATCGGATGTTCCGGGAAAGCCGAGATAAACACAGAGCGACCCGAGATTTCTCTCCATATTATCGTCTTACGGAAACGGTCGGAAGCAGATCGACCGGGGATTGTGCAAACACGGGGAGAAGACAATGACTGCTCCAGCCTGCATTTCTGCGGGGGCGATTTCGTCGAGGGAAGAAGAGTAAGGTTCCTCCATGTTTGCGAGGAACGATTTCTTCGAATCTTCTCCATATTTATTCTAGTTTTCTCAGGGGGAATCCCATCCGTTGGCATTCGTGCTGTTCAATATTTACGAAAAGGGAAGAATCCGGTAAAGCAGTCGAAAATTTGTCAAAATTGATCGTCCTCTCTTTTCATTTCTCCATTCGTGCAAAAAAAAGATCTCCATATACGACTTCACTCCTACAACTCGCAATATCCGCGACCTCAGTCATCGAAATGGGAAGAGATTGCACCTCGTGCATCTCAAGCGCTCGAGTTTTCGTTTCCGTGACAGTTGAATTTTGACGAATACTCGGATCAGAGAAACTGAAATATATTTTTTTCATGGATCTTCGGATCATGCGAAACTCTAATCGAATGTTTGCCATTCGTTCAAGGAAAAAATATGCAGATTCACTCGCTTTTGTTGCATTGATGACTCGCAGGTTCCCCGTCATTTTTTTTTTTATGCGGCAGGGACAGGGACTTGCCTAGTGACCGAAATCTGACATCGAAAAAGAACCAAAAAAGTTCGCGGGAAATTCGCACGAACGAAAGAGTTTAATGCTTTGTTGACCATTTGTTGATGTTATTCCCGGGATAGGCTTGCCATAGTGTCGGATCAAAAATCGGCAAAATATAGGTTAAGGAATTACGCATCAAGGAACTCTCCCGATTCATCGGCTTCGATTCGAGGAAAGGAGAAGATAATGGAAAACAGACTGAAGAGGGGAAGGAAAATAAAGAGGAAGAGAATCTTGGGTCGGAGTGAGACGACGGGGGAGTGTTTTAACAGCGCTCAATTGGTTTACTCGGTACATCATCCTGGGGTTTGCTCCAATTTTATTCCCTATTTATCTTGATGCCCCTTCTCCCAGGGGCAAATGTTTGCAGCCAGACGGCGACGACACACACATTTGGATTGCATATATAGACTGTGGAATAGGCACACTCCTCCTTTTTTTATGTCTATGAAGGGAGAGTGTTTCTGTAAATTTGGTCAACCAATAGGAGCTGTTTGCCCGTGCATATCATGCCTTATCGAGTGATGATCGGGGATACCCTGCAAATTGACACTGTCCATATACTGCAGTGCTACGCACACTGAACGTGTGTAAACTTCGAGGTCTGAAAAGATGAGCACTGTAGCTCCTGTTTGTCTCCCTTGTTATAGTATTGACTGTGAAAGCCGAAAAGGTTTGTTACGGACTCCATCCGATACAATGATTGTGTAATCGTCTTTCCTTGTCACCACGCCCTTCCCCGCCTCCCATAAGTAGGAAAGGAACAGGAAAAAAAAAAAGTTTCGATGAAATACGCAGACTCCTTGAATTCCCTTAGTAAATGGGGACATTCTCATTTCTGTAGATTAGTTTTTAAAGGGACGGTTTGTAAATTTCATAAACTACTCACGAGTGATTCTGTTTTTTAGGTCGCCATGTCTGTCTCATGACTTTCTGACCTCAGTCTGGGCCAAAGCAAAGGTCAAAGGGAACTTCAGGAATATCCGGGAGAAGAAGGAAAACCTGGTTCCCTCCCTCCCTCTCTCCCTCCCTCCCGGAGGGATGATCTTGTATAGAAAGGGACCAGTATGTGTGTCTCAAGGGAGAGTCAAAGCATAGAGCAGGAAAAAGAGGAGTTCCCTCTATTGACAGAAGGTGCAGGGTCAATATTTGACAAGCAGATGAGTGTGTGCCTAGAAAATTGAATGCTGCATCCTCTGACCCACGAAATACCTTTCTCCCAAATGACTCTCTCTCTCTCTTTCTTCCACCGGCCTTTGTCTATCATTCATGGCATGACTTGCAAGAGACGCTCGGTCTCTGTTCCTGCACATTACCAAGTGGACAGACATTAGGGGTACGATGCGAACGGATTTCTGGGAAAGCGTGTTTGGGAGGGATTTGTAGATTTTTCTGAAGTGAATTTAAAAAATATGAGAGATTTTCTGCTCCAGGGAGCCCCATTGAGACTCTGGTGATGTGCAATGATTGCCGTAAATACAATTTTTCCTTGCCATGCTTCTTTCGTCGACTTTAAGGAGTTGATGGCATGCCAATATAAGGCTTTTCCGCCTTTAAAAATATCTAAAAAATTTACCATCACCATGTCCGATAGGAGCACGCCGACTTCAATCCCTCACAGGATTTACAAATTCTAATCAGTCTATCGAAAGTAGTGTTGGAGGAACGACAAGCCGTGGGAAGCCATAGGGAATTTGACAGAGGTAGACATCTGTGTAAAAATATGACACTTCGTAATCTCTGACCATCGCTAGATGTCTCTGGCATCAAAACAGGCATAGCTGCATTCTCAGCTGGAGTGGCACCACATTGGATGTGATATTAGGACCCACTAAATAGGGATTTCAATTATCTAATTTGGCACATCCTAATAATCACTGTTACCGGATTGGTAGACGAACCTTGTTGCTTCTTGTATCCGAATAGCACGCTTGAGGTTCCATGAACTTTTCTCTTTAGATCTAATGTTAGGCCTAGTTATTTAATTTCGTTTTGCTTATGGGATAACCATTGACGCTGTCAAGAAAACTTTTTTCTTTACGCGGTAGGCCTAGCATTTGGCTTGAAGTTAAACTTGTCATTCCTACTTCAGAATTGATTACTTTGCCTCTGGGGCGAATTTTATGCTTTTGTAATGAAAGGTACTGTAGTGTACATGTACTCATGATCACCAAAATAGCTGTTCTCCACAGCATTTTTACTGCACTGGTGATACAAGCAGCCCAAGCATACGGGACCCATGCCCAGTATCACAGCACCCCAAATGGAATATGATGATCAGGAGAAGCTGCTTAATGAAGCACTGGGAGTGGTGAAAGCTCAAGCATTCCAGATGAAAAGATGCTTAGACAATGGAAAGTTGATGGATGGGTTGAAGCATGCATCCAATATGCTCGGTGAACTCAGGACTTCCATGCTATCTCCAAAATGCTACTATGAACTTTGTATCCTTATCTTTGATGTCATACTGCATGACAGAGCAGATTGGTAAACAAATTTTTAAGGTTTCCCAACGTGAAAGGAGACATCTCCCTTGACTCTGATTCTTAGACATGGCTGTAACAGATGAGCTTCGATATTTTGAGCGCTTTCTCTTAGATGAATACCAGAAAGGAAAAAAGATAGCAGACTTATATGAATTGGTCCAATATGCTGGCAACATCATTCCACGATTGTGAGTTATCCTTGTTTTGCTTTTCCTACAGTATGTTTCCCAATGGAAAATGACCTATTCCTCTTTAAATGATATAACAGGTACTTGCTGATTACTGTGGGACTTGTGTACATCAAGACAAATCAACAAAGCCGAAGGGATATTCTCAGAGATTTGGTTGAGATGTGTAGGGGTGTTCAGCATCCCTTGAGAGGCCTGTTTCTTCGAAATTATCTGCTACAAGTCACCAGGAATGTACTTCCAGATGTTGATGATACCTCTGGTCTCTCAACTGTGGGTTTACGTTTAATGAGGTTCGGGTGTTGTAGCTCCACTATGAAAAACTATATTTCATATCAGCTTCTTTGACATTTTATAGCCTCCACATGAGCAGGCCACCTTGCACCCTTCACCAGTACAAGATTCCCTGGACTTCATCCTCTTGAATTTTGCGGAGATGAACAAGCTCTGGGTTCGTATGCAACATCAAGGCCACACCAGAGAGAAGGAGAAGAGGGAAAAGGAACGTCTAGAGCTGAAAATTCTTGTGGGCACCAATCTGTCAGTTCTGTCACAGCTTGAGGGAGTCACTTTGGATAGATTTAAAACAGTGAGTGCCAAACCTGCCAGTACATGTCATGCCATGAGAGTAATACTTGATATAAAACCCATAGATATTGTGAGATGCAGGGAAGGGGTTTTCATATTTTTCATGTCAGGTGGTTCTGCCTGCTATCTTGGAACAAGTGGTGAGCTGCAAGGATGCCATTGCACAAGAGTATCTCATGGAATGCATAATTCAGGTATGTTCTCATCATCCCCAAAGGCTAGAGATGATCATCTCTGATTTTTTCAAAGTTCTAGGACCATAAATGGTAATACACTGAAGTGGAATCAATTGAAAAGTATGAAATGAGTCTATTTTCTCAATAAGAGGCCAACTTCTGATTTGCAGCATTTGTTCATTGACCAAAAGCTGTTTTTTCCCATAAAATTTATTCTGCTGGGATTTGCCATTAAGTTGCTTCAATGATACTATTTAACAGTGGGAAGCCTGAGACTCAGGTATTATTAAATTGTGAGAAGTTTGTATGAAAGCACCTTTGAAAGACTTGGAATTTTTTGGGAGACCTCTATGAATTGTATGAAATTTGATGATCTCTGTGATTTGAATGTTAGGCAACTCTCTAACTTTGTCCCTTGATTCATATGTTATTTTCTGTAATTATCCTTGCTTATTTTTATTTATTTTTATTAATGATGCCCCTGGTCTCTTTATGTAGGTTTTCCCAGATGAGTTCCATCTCCAAACCTTGCATGGTTTTCTGAAGGCATGTGCAGAGCTGCATCTAAATGTGAATGTGAAAAATATCATCATCTCTCTTCTGGATCGTCTGGCACTTTTTGCAAAGAAGGAAGATGGTGGAGGTATCCCTTCAGGAATCCATCTCTTTGATATTTTCTCTGAGCAAGTGGCCATGATCATAAAGGTACTGCCCTCCAAGATGCTAGAATGGATTTTTATGAAGACTTTTCCCCTTACATTGATATGATTCAACTTTTTAGTCAAGACCTGACATGCCTCTTGAGGACATTGTATCATTGCAAATTTCCCTTCTCAACATGGCCCACAAATGCTACCCCAGCCAGTCAGACTATGTTGATCGCATCCTTCAGTCCATGAATGATGTTCTGGAGAAGCTCAATGTAACCAGGTAGGCTTTCTAAACCTAGATATTAGGCCCTTGTTGAGATTTTTCAAACCAATGTGCTAAGTACAGCCCTAGGCATAGATACAATTCTTTGCCTGTTTGGTTTGCAGGCCTCCTGTACAACAATAGAGCCTGCAGTTATAACTAAGCATTGCAGCTTTTTATTATTTTGAAGTGTGCAGTGAAGCATTACAAATGACCTTTACCTCAAGTTAATGAATTCTCCTTTTACTCAAGTACACAGTAATAACTTGAAGGCTGGGTGTTTCAGAAACATAATTTGATAATTTCTCTCTTTTGGCTGAGAGCAGTTTCTTTGCAAGGAATCGTTTTGCAGAAATAAATGTGTATAGACTTATAAGTGAAGTTTTAGCCATTTAATGAATCTAGCCAATGGAATAGTTGGAAATGCAAGACTATTCATTATGCATTGATTAAACATCAAAATTAGTCATGGTAGATGGATTAGAATTGCCACCAATTTGGTAATAGTGGAAAGGTGCACAGAAGAGATATTGCATATTGCGAACCACAGTGTAAGGACTGCTGGAAGATGTTTACAAAATTTTTTTCAACTTAATTCATCTGCCATGATGATGTCATGACTCAACAGCATGCTATAAATCCATAGTTGGATTTGACCTTTTACACCATTCATTTAATTCCAAATGGCAATAAAGTGCTAATACTGTAGCTTGCATAAGATTGACATCATTAGTAAAACACACATCCATTTTGTTGAATTGAATTAGCTGAAATCCAAGTTACTGTTGATGAAGAACTGATAGAATTTCATTGTGGCTCATACCTCATTCCAGTGTTCTTGTACTATCTGGGAACCCCTCAGTTTTTGGGCCATGAATTAGAGATTTCCTCAAGATTCAGAAGCTAGTCTCAGTCCTTCTGTAGATAAATTGTTTCTTCCTGGAGCCTCAACTTTGAGAAAATTTTCAAAGTTGAGGGTCTCTGTAGCAGTGTATTGTGCTAATATCATTCTTGCTACCCTCCTACAGCCATTCACAGCAATCTCATGTGAAGTTGCTTTTAAGATGATCATTTAGAGTGAAAGATCTACTTTGCTCCAGGGCAATGGCATATTTTACAGGTGGGGCTATTGCCTCCTGCCCCTGGTAGTCTTTGAAAGTGCTTTGCACCCCCTTAAAGTATATTTTTCAACCCTGAGAACTTTTACTCATCAACCTTTGGTGCCCCCTTTCATTTACCTTGCACTCCCTTCCTTAGCTCATGAGCTAAAACATATCACTGCTTTAGGATATTGTTAAAGTTTCTTTCATGTTAAAAGCTGGTACTAGTAAACTTTCAGGGCTAGTAATGGCATGCTGTTGTTCCTGCATGACCCAGACCAGCTGGGGGTTGTACTGTACGATTTTGGCTCTTCTTTTGCAGAGTGGACCATAGCAAACCAGTGGGCAAGGAGTTAACCCGGTTTCTCAAGATTCCACTTGACAACTACAATGATATTCTGACAGTTCTCAAACTGGACCACTTCAAGCCTCTTGTTGAAGTGTTTGATTACACAGGACGCAAGAACATGAGTTGCTATATTGTGAACAATGTTCTCGATAATGAGACTCAGATTCAGACAACTGATCAGGTCAGTGCAAATTCAATAACCTGAAAGAAAACATCAATGAATTATCAACAAATATTTTAGTTGAATGATCTCAGAAGTTTGCTGCTTGAATATGTCAAATATCAGATAGCACTCCATGGGAGCTTGATTTTTAGCTCCTGAAAGTCCCTTTAGAAAATTCAGATGTCATCTAATTTCTACCATCATGAAATTGCTGTGGTTTCAGGTAGAGGCATTGTTGTCAGTCATCAACACATTGGTCAAGGATCAGACAGATCAGCCACCAGGAGAACCTGATCCAGAGGATTTCACTGAGGAGCAATGTCTTGTGGGACGTTTGATTCATCTCTTTAAGGCTGACTCCCCTGATGGCCAGTATACCCTCCTAAGCACAGCAAAGAAGCACTTTGGACTTGGAGGCACCAAAAGGATCAAATTCACTGTCCCATCCATGGCATTCAAATGTTATCAGTTGGCTTTCTGGTATAAACAGATACAAAATCAGGTAAGAATAGAGTTGAGAGAACTGGTTTTACCCCTGAAGTTTAATCCAAATAATTTGGGAAGTAGTGATGACTTTTGATATGAGTTAAAGCCAACATTAATTTTTGTTGAGGCCCTTATTTGAAACCAAAGGTTGGTGTGATGGAAGACTGAAGTTTTTGGCACAGAGCACTATTCCATGACATGACCACTGCTACTGTCTGGTACTTTTCACACTAATTTCATTCATCCCACCAGTCAATTCAGACACAAATATTCAGTTGAGTAGAAATTTAATATAATCTTTTAAGGTATACTGAAGATTCATTAGATATTAGCATCCCATATCTCCAACTAGTTCTGTTTGGACCGCAGGTTGGGAGGCAAAAGTTGATGTTGCACCCTGTTCTTATTTATTTATTTAAATAAATGATGTGAAAATTCTAGCATAATCCATCTTCATATTTGTTGTGATCAGGAGGAGAAGTGGGAGGTGAAATGTGAACGAGTATTTCAACAATCCCTTGGTATCATCCGTGGACTAGTCAAAGCTGATTATGCTGAATTACCAATGAGGTTGCTCTTGCAAGGTGCTCTGGCTTCTGATCAGCTAGGTTTTGAGAAACGTGAGACTGTAGCATATGAGTTCATATCAGAGGTTTGTGAGCTCCACCCTGTTTTGTATTTATCATCATTCTCAACTGATGCAGACCTTGTGTTTATGTGAAAATGTTCTCCTATTCAGGCCATATCTTTATATGAAGAAGAAATCAGTGAAAGTAAGGCACAATTGACTGCCATTACCTTGATCATTGGAACCTTGGAGAAGATGTCCTGCTTTTCAGAAGAGAATCATGGAACATTACGGAAGCAATGTGCACTGGCAGCAACTAAACTCCTCAAAAAGCCAGATCAAAGCCGTGCAGTTGGCACTTGCTCTCACCTTTTCTGGTCTGCATGCACAGCAGAAAAAGCTGCAGCAGTAAGTTTTCTGACTCGAATTGAGTACCTGCATTAATGAATGGAATATATTAATTTTGCCAACTATTTCTGCAGCTGCACGATGGCAAGTCCGTGAATGATTGCTTGAAGAAAGCCATTCGTACAGCCAACAATTGCATGGACAAATCAGTGCAAGTCCAACTTTATGTGGAAACTCTCAGCTTGTTTGTATACTTCTTTGAGAGGAACAATGACCAAGTGAGTTTTTTTTTTTTTTAGTTCCATCTAAAAATAAAGTAAATAAATAGAAAGATAGACAAAAGTTTCATCATCGTTTGCATTGGTCATTATAGGTCACTGTGCAGCAGCTGAATCAGCTCATGAGCAAGATAAGAGAAGAATTGCCCCAGTTGGAGCCTGGTGATGAAACTGATCAGATACACAGGCATTTTAATAATACCATTGACCATCTGAGGCACAAGATGGAACATCCAGCATCTGGAACACGCTCTATGGAAGGACTCGAACTGTGATCTCCCACCAGATTCCTCACCATTAATTCCCCCTTATTTCATTCGTAAGGGTATGGTTGTTTTCAGCTGTGAACCATGTCTCTCTTTATGTCTGCTTCTCCAGTGGGATCTGATGTATAAGATGAATTATAATGATGGAGTGATGATGCCACTATGACTGGTTAAGGCCAAAATTCAGAGTAGAGTTGAGTGTTGGGGATAGAGTTGAACTCATTGAGCAATAAAGGCAAGTTCACACAAACTGCACAGGACAAGTTATCACTTGCTTTGTTAATTCTCACTCAACTCTTCTCATAGACACCCTTATGCTGTGCTATGCAGTGAGTGTGAATTTGCCCCAATAGAACCTATACAATTCATATGCAAGATGTAAATTTGTCTTCTCAGAACAGGACTTTTTTTGTTGTACAAGATGTCCTGTGATTCAATTGTAAAAAGAATGTTACAGAAAGCTTATTAGCACATTTACTGACAAGTTACCAGACAATGGGACTGTCTGTGTCTCATGTGCTCAGTTTATCCTGATGCTTCCAAGACATTGGTGCATTATCAGAAAATCATGCTATTATTGCAAATTGCCAAACCTGCCATTGACCCAGAGTGAGAATTGTCATTAAGTGGTCAGTGTGTTTAGAGCTGTTATTGCTGTGGATGAAAAGGCCTAGAGGCTGCAGGAAGAAACCATGATAGTATTTTTCACTTGAGTTACACATATTTTTGCATAACCGAGACACTAATGCATGAGGGACATCTCATGCACAAGTTCCCAAGTCAAGTGAAAAAGGCTATGATGATAATTGGTACTGCAGGCAATACACTCCTCTGTACTATGTTTAACTCGACTACCAAACACTCAACATCAAGTTGTGACTTGCCCATTGTGTTACAGTGTGCCATAGATGGAAATGGGGCGAGGCAAGGGGTTACTCCCTTAACTAAAATTTTCTCATGACAGGTTTTTTGGCTAGTCAGATTTGTTGAGAGACTTCTGACATTTTGAATCTGGGTGTGATGGTGATCCAAGTCAAGTCCTGGGTTCTCATTTTCCTTATTCTATTCATGTACATGGATCCTATTATTATGCATGCATGCTGAGGTAACAGTAAATTAAAGGTTGGGCCCATGGGCCCATGTTGATAAATGTAGGAATAAAGCTGATTTATTCAAACCAAACACCAAACTGGTAGAAAAACCAAATTTTTAAAAGTGACTTTTGAGAGGGTATCTTGGTTCAGAACAAACACTATTACTAGAATTTTTCTCATCATGGGCCTGGGGTACTTTAAATAATAAAAAAACATGGAAAGAGTGAGCAGAAGGTGCAGTCGGAACTGCTTCTGCCAAAGTTTGATTTTTGCTTTGAATGAAGCAAGACTGCTGGCCAGAAGAAAGTCTGGCACAAATCACCAATTCTACTGGATGTGCTCCTGTTCCCTTTATATTTAATCAGATTCTTTAGAAATACCAAGTGCAGAGAAAAAAAAACCACACCACCAGTTGAAGTTTTACATCGGGAAATCAGTCATTGCTATAATAATCTGTGTTCCAGGATACTTGCATCTACATCTTGTTTTCCATATACAATTTTTTAATGAAATTTTCTCCATCTGGCTTAGCCACAGAAGCATTTAAAAGTTGCAAGTAAAATTTTTGGAAATCCCACCTATCGTTAGTCTTACACCAAGAGAAACCAGTACGCTTTTATGTTTTCACTCCAATTTGTCTATTGCATCAATTATAATCGTGCAGTTGTCTTACATAGACAGAGCAGTATTGATTTCATTGAAAGAATGATTCTTAAATGAAAACTGCAACTGAAGGCTGTCACCCAGGCACAAGGCCATTCCATTATACATTCATTTCATTATTTCTCCATGGATTTGGGATTTCATGATATTTTAACCTCCTTAGTGTTTACTCAGAGGCAGTCTCAGGGTGGAAGGTCCTGTCTATAACGTTTTCAATAAATTTTCAGCTGCAGTCAACTCTCATTATACTGCCACTCAATATAACACCATTCTCACTAATCACCAATCTTTTCTTGTGGAAGTATATCCTCATAGACCTATATAATATGGGATATAGATCATTTGATATAGCACCACCCTTATTATAGCACCAAATGACTGACTGTGGTGTTATGTTGAGGGTTGACTAAGTAAATAAAAAAATTCACCCTCTGGTGATGTATGCATTGTATACATGTATGTCATGAAAGACAACTTTGACAAAAGAAACATTGGCCAGACAAAAATGATGGCAAAAGAAAAAAAAAGAGCACTGGAGTTAAAGCATTAAAATAAGAAAAAGAGCATTAAGGAGGTTAAAAAGTGAACTTTAAAGTGCTTGTTTGGCTAAACCAGCTGATGGGAAATTCTGTAGAAAAAATGTACATAATGGAAAACATGTAGTTCCATACCAGGTGGGACAAACACAACAGTAGCTTTCACTTTTCAGATGTGAACATTCTAACAGTAGTACATTTTTTTACATCCATTCAGTATATTGCTAGGATAAAAAGGAGGTGATAAGGGGAAGACTGTATCTAGTTTCTACCCCCCCCCCCCCCCCAGCACAATATCTATTTTCACCCATGTGATTTGTTGTTTTATTCTTGGAAAAATATGGAGGAAGGTCCTGTTGGACCTAGGCAGCTGTCAATGCCAATCCCCATTCTTTCAGCCTTTCATTGAGCAAAGCTTTGCAAGTCAAGTAGGAACTAAAATTTAAGAGATGTTCTACTGAGTCTACTACTACTTGAATCCACAAACGTTCTGTCTATCAGCTTGCTGAGGATATTTTCCAGCTTTGACTGCATCATGAAACACAACTGCCAAAGAAATAAAAAGAAAAAAGCACTGAGAGACGTATGACCATATCTGTGACCATTGAATGGCAAAAACAAATATAATATGCCCATGTAGAAGCCATTACATCACCATCATCAGGATCAAAAGCATTGGGGAGGAGACAAGAAGGTTAGTGATATCATGGCCTTACTTCATTAATTTCTTTGAAGAAACAAAAAACATACCAGCCACAGGTTAACATAATACATTTTCATGTGGAGACACTTTTGGAGATTCACTGCCAAAGCTATGAAATTTTTATTCACATGTACCAAGTGATATTTCTACTGGACTTGCTCTGTGGACAACAACAGGAAGTTAATACGTTATTGTTGACTCAAGGTGCAAGAGTGAAGGAACTAAGTTATGAAGTGAATTTGTCACTTCAAAATAGATTCTAAATGATATAATTTCATTCTAGGAGAAAAGGAAAAGCCTGCTGGGGACTTGTCTGCATGACAGTACAGGGTGGCCCAGAAAAAAACATACCAAAAATGTATTGTATGTTTTGCAAGGTTTATGTGTTTATATGATTTATATGGTGAATATATATAATGAATGTCATGTTTTCATTGCCGGGTCCTGAGTAAGCATAAAGTAGTGGGACAGTGCCACCATGCCCCAGTTATCATTAGAGGGGTGGATATTCCTGGTGGAATTTTATTTTCAGAGTTATAGAGACGAGTGCAATGGTGAACCAATTGTGAAATGGACGTTGGAACACTTTGTAGAGAAAGATTTTGGAAGGAACCTCTGACAAAACAAACATTGATGGATCTAATCACAGTTCCAAGAGTTCAGCAGTGCAAAATGTGAATGTAGTCTTTCTGCAAAGTGTTTAAATGTCCACTTCACACTAGGAACTCCTCTGACAACTGGGGCATGGTGGCACTGCCCCACTACTTTATACTTAATCAGGACCCTGCGATGAAAATATAACATCTAATATATATAGACGATCGTGACTGACTGATTGACGCTAATTCTAACCATGTTCTAGAAAGGTTAGAAATTGAAACTTGGTACACATGTACCTTTTGGGATGCATAGTTCAGAAAAAATCCGACTTTGGAGGTACATGCCCTGGGGGTACAAATTTTGGGGGGAAACGTTTTTCTTAAATATATTTTGTGACAGATGAGGATGGCATTCAGAGAGTCAACTGGATGTCCTGGGTTCGGTGGTGCAGTAGTAGCATATCTCACTGGCAATCAGGAAGTCCGGGTTCAATTCCCGGCCATTCCTTGGCTTTCTTTTGGCTTCATTTGCCTTCCATGACCCGTTACTCATTCCCCCTCCATAACATTGTTTTTGCTTGAGTAAAACGGAGAGACATAGAAAGCTGAAACCTGGAATGGAGGTGCCTACCGAGACGATGAGTTCAGGAAAAATGCAAAATTTTAGATCCATGCCCTGGGGAATATTTTTTGGGGCCGACGTTTTCAAGTATTTTTTTTTTGTCCTGGCGTATTGAGCTAGTGTGGAAAGATTAAACTTGGTACATAACTACCTATTGGGATGCTGCAGAAAAATTCCGACTTTGGAAGTAAATGCCCTGGGGGCAGAAATTTCAAAGGGAGATGTTTTCGACAAATTTTTTTGCATCAGTTAAACTGTTGAACATGGAAAGCTGAAACTTTGCATGAATGTGGCTACTGAGACAAGGAGTTAAATAAAAATGTTAAGTCTCGATACATCCCCTGGGGGAATTTTTTCGAGGTGCGATGTTTTGAAAAAAAAAAATTTTCGTGGCGAATTGGACAGAAATGGAAAGGTGAAACTTGGCACACGTATAAGTGAAATGATATTACTGAGCTGAGGGAGTATTCAACTTTCATGGTGCATCTCCTCCGGGCATAGCGTTTGGGTGGGTCGGCTTTTCCAAGCATGTTTTTTCACCAGCGAAAAGGGCAAACGTATAATATTGAAACGTTGTGGGCATGTAGTTCACTGAGGATGGATTTCGGAAAAAAAAGGTACGTTTCGGTTAAAACGGCTCAGGGCACATATTTTGCAAAAGGCGTATTTTCACGAATTTTCTGATCCAGCAAAACGGAGGGCGCATGAAAGTTAAAAAAAAAAAACTTTGCAAATAAGTACCTGATGGATAGCTGCGTAAATAAAAAAGGATACTTTTATTATATATGGACGATCGTGAGTAGCTGACTGACTGACATAAGTAGCTATTCGCATGTTAAAATCAGGAAAAGTTCTACTTTGGTGATGCATGCCATGCACCTTTCGGGATGAAAAATCGGGGAACATATTTTCAAATAGTTCTCTTTGCTTCAAACGGAGACACATGGAAAGCTGAAACTTGGCAAGAACGTGACCGTTGACGCACTGAGCTCAAATGTCAAACGTCAAATTTCCAAAATAGTTTTGGGGTTCATATTTCTTGAGGACGTAACGTTTTTAAATAATTTTTCATATCCTACCGAATCCGGCAGAAATAGAAAAGTAGCTGGCGCACGCATAACGGACGTGATGTTGATTTAAGGAAAAATTTAACTTTTTTTGTGCGTCTCCTCAGAGCACAGCTTTTGGGTGGGTCGCTTTTCCATATACATTTTTTCCGCTAGCAAAAAGGGGAAACGTATAAGGCTGAAACTGGGTGGCATGGGGTTCCCTGAGTCTACATTTCAAAAGGAAAAACATTTTTGTTAAAACCCATCAGGGCACTTTTTTTCAGTCCCATTTTCCTGAATTTTTTTTTGATCCAACGAAACAGAGACAGAAAATATAAACTTCCCTCAGAAGTACCTGTTTAATGGCTGAGTACAGGAAAAATCCTACTTTTGAAATATGTCTCCTTAGCGTAGATTATAGGAGGGAAGTATTTCAAAATATATTCTCCACCCTTACAAAAAAGGGACACAAGAAAAGATTTCAAGTTAGGCACACATAGAATCATAGAAGTAATGATTTTGATCAAAATCAAGACTTTCGTCCCCATATGTCACGTATTTCAATGGGGAAGTACTTTAAATACGTGTTTCCCATTTCGCAAAAAATGAATGAATTAATCACTAATCACTATCCAAGGTAATGGAGCGCCGAAGGCGCGGCCATAGCTAGTTTATTATATGTCCACCATACAAATCATATAAATGAGTAAACCCTTTCAAAACATACAATACATTTGTATTGTATGGTGTTTTCTTGGTTTTCGGTATGGTGTTGGTTTTCGGTATGGTGTTTTCTTGACCACCCTGTAGAAATATCCAAAAGGTCTAATGATGGTATGCGGGAGAATTGAAAAGTAATATCACTGATTTTCCTCATTAAATATAATACTCAGGATATTGAAAACTACATGGTATATA